AGGGATTTAAATGGCTCCGCTAAAAGTCACGCTCAAGGGGTTAAGGTAGCCATTTTGTTTGTAAGGTTGGTGCGATGTGAAAGAGTATGGGAGCTTATTTCATGGCTTGTAATGATTTAAAAATTAAAAAGCGATAAAATCTGTTTGAGCATTGTGGTCAAAAAATATATCGGCATAAGATCTTGCAGGTAAGAGGGAAGTAACAGTGCAGTGTTGGCCGACAGCGGGATACGTAATTTTGTCGTGCGAGACAAACTAGCAGAATGTGCAGACTAAAGAAGAGGTTTAACCCTTCAGCGTCGGCATTTAAATATCGCTATTGTGGGGCCTCCTGCGGTAGTATTTTTTAATTGCCCATTCAAATTTTGCTCTAAATTATATTATGTATCATAACTTTTGAACTATATGAGGTATAATTATGAATTTTTCACAGAAATCATCTTAGAAGATGGTTTTATAATCTTTCCTTATAATATGAGCGCCCTCTATCAGCGATGGAAGCAAGTGGATTAGAAATTGAGTTTCGTATGGTATTTCTTGAAACATCCATCTAACCACAACCCTGCCTCACATTCACTACACCAGTAGATAGATTCTTTCCATTTACCATGTTTTGCGCACACCACACATCTTTTTTGAGGCTTTGCTTTTTTCCTTTGGCTGGAATACGCTCCAGGAAATGTCGTTCTGCGAGTCTTTTAGGCAGCGGATCAACTGTCGGACAGCCGTATATAGGATGAGTAAAACCAGAACCGTAATTTTCCACGAGGCCTTGTGCTAGTGAAAGTCTGAACTTTGGCGTGCCCATGTTTTTGTTATTCGGGAGACACCGATATATATGACCATTACGTTATGTATTGCTACATTGAGTAGCCTCTTGAATAACTTCTGATACCACTTAGTACTCCTGTTTTGTTCAAGCAAGTATGGCTGTAGCATTTGATCCTCAGATCCACTCCTAGGATGTTTCTGTTGTAATCACAAGCAACCAAGGGCTTTGTTTCTTTTGTTTGTTTGCTTTATTCACAACTACACGCATATCTTCTTTGTGGTATGTTGATATCATAGTCACTCGGCCATCGTAACTGTGAGGTCACTGTACTATTTAGACTGACTGGCAGAGCTGCAGGAAATTGAATGTTATGTTTACACGAACAGAGAGCACCGCTCAAGGCACTAATACCGATTAAATAGAAAGCACATACTGAACACATTGGGTGCTGTCCAAAGAATTATTTCCTTATCGTGAAATTGAAGATGAATTTCTTATGGGTGTTTCTTAAATTAATACATTTTTCAGCTGTGAAAGTCGCTATTTATTGTGAGAATCATACAGAACACAAAAAATCATAGATTTTAATGTTAAAGTATGTGGCCGTTTCGTTTATTGCTTCAAGGAATTAAATATATTGGAATTGTAAAGCGTTGTACATGAACCTGAATTGCACTCAGAAGGCTGTTTTTTGACTGAGCGATTTGAACTATTTGCAAATTCCGGGATTAACAGAGACTGAAGACTTCTGGTGGATGACGCAGTCAGGCTTATGTGGACGCTATGGACGTTCTCTAGGTTCTCTAGCTTCGGTGCTTGTTTCTTCTTAAGTTTTGAGGATAAAAGGGCTCTATGTTCCATCCTCGACCTTGTAAGTGCAAGTTTTTTTTTTTTATTGTGAGATATAAGAATTTGGCGTCGGGCTGGACGGCCCATTCTGCCAATTACAAGCTTAAGTTAGAATTTGTAACATGCTTACAAATAGGTTCAGAGTTAAAGCATATTTACATTGAGTTTACAAGTAGGCTTAATATGAAACAGGTTTATAGCATGCTGATGAGTAGGTCTAAACCGAAATACGTGGCTAAGTGAAGGCAGTTGTTGGTGGAGTAGATACGGTTTGTATCTAATTTATGTAGCAAGGACTAAGATATGTTCATTAAATGGTGATGTCGATGCGGGTTAGGTAGTGAGCAATCGATGCAATAATCCCAGGGTCCATGTCCCTGAGGAGGGGTTCGATCTTGTACGGGGGGTATTCATTGCGCTTAATCAGGTTCCTGAGCATGTCTTCTCGTGCCGCATCAAATCGTTTGCATTGCCATAAGATGTGGTTGGGAGATTCGATATTTTCTCCGCAGTCGCAAATCGCATGGGGAACAATGTTGAGTCTATGGAGGTGGGTTTTCAGGCAGTAGTGCCCGGCTCGAAGTCTGTTGAGCGTGACGATGGGCTTCCGGTGGAGCTTAATCTTGTTGAACCAGGGGTAAGGTACCTCAGCGAAGTAATTATCGAAGTAATATTTTCCTTTGTGTGCTCCCGATGAGTAGCCCCATGCGTAAAAATCCTTTAACATTTTCTGTTTCCAACAGGCTCTAAGGTCGGTCCAGGGTAATAATAGTTGGGAGTCTATGCCTTTGTAAACACTCTCTTTTGCCGCCATGTCGGCCCGTTCGTTGTGGGTGATTCCAATGTGGGCAGGTATCCAGTAGAAGTGAACGATTTTACCCTTTTCTTCAAGCATGAGGAGTTGCTCTTTAATGGTAAGTATTAGATGACTACAGTGTTTCAGTGGGGAGCCAGAGCGTAGGGCTTCCAAGACACTTTTGGAGTCTGAGAAAAGACTGAAGTGTGTGTTCGGACTCTGTTTTATCATTTCTAGCGTCGATATAATAGCCATAGCTTCCGCTGTGAAGACTGAGGCATACTTGGATGTTCTATATAGGTTCGCCGTGGAGTTTGTAGAAGTCACGGAGGCAAAACCTACAAAACGGCAACCTTCCGTTTTGGATCCATCTGTGAAAAAACAACGGTTGGAACCTTCGAGTTCCTTAACCAGCGAGTCGATCATGGCCTTCCCTTGTGGTGATGAGCTGGCAGCTAGGCCCTCGGCAAATGAGACCCGGGCCTGATGAAAGGAAGTCTTGTAGGGGTAACTGTATATCAGGGGTTTATCGGAGTGGGCAATAAGGTGATGCAGAGGTTCAATTTCCTTGTAGCACGTGAGAATTAGGGGCTCTTGTCCAGTGTGTATCCTGGTGGGATGCATCCTAGTGTCTGCAAGTTGTGATATACGGGCCAGTAGCGGATGATTTGAGAGGGTGTAGATTCTGGAGATGTAGTTGTCACAGAGTAGTTTAAATCTCATGTCCAGGGGTGGAATCCGTGCTTCTGCCTGGGTTACATTTGTGGGTGTGGATGCCATATATCCCATAGCTAGCCGAAGGGCTTTACATTGTATACGTTCCATGGAGGTGGTTTCTGTGGCATTTAACGGAGTGAAAAGATGCGAACCATACTCAATTCGAGACCTCACTAGCGCAATATATAGGCGTAGTAGGATAGATGGGTCGGCTCCTATCCATGTTGAACGCAAATAGCTGATAATAGTCAATGGTTTGATACATTTGGATCTGATGTAGAGGAGGTGTTGTTTCCAATTAAGCGATGATTCGAATAATATTCCCAGAAATTTCACCACTGGCACTGATCTGCATGCGGCGTTGCCTATAGTTACTTCCCAGCGGGCAGCTCTTATGGTTCTATTTTTACTGAAGAGGCAATATTGACACTTGTCGGGGGCCAGTTTTAGCCCGCTGTTCTCTAGAAAGACGTTCATTGTACCAATGTCTTGTGTGAGCTTAGTGGAAATGATTTTGGGATCCTTGTCAGAATAGTAGAGGGCGATGTCATCAGCAAACTGGAGTACGGTGCAGGGGCCTTGCATGCTCGCGTTGAGGGGCGTCATGTAGAGGGCAAAGAGAATCGGGCTGAGAACACTACCTTGAGGTAGCCCCCGATACGCCGTTCGTACAACATCCAGGTTGTCGTATCGGAGGTAGAGGAATCTTTCTGAAACTAAATTGTAGATGAAAGCTAAAAAGTGGCGAGGGAGGTTTGTGAGTTTCAGTCTTTCGATGAGGACGTCGGCCAATACGTTGTCAAAAGCACTTTGGATATCAAGAAATACGGCACCCAGGTGTCGATTCAGGTCGAACGCATTGATTATGTCCAGGTAAAGCACAGTGGCATTATCCAGGCATGATTTGTTCTTACGGAAACCGAATTGTAGGGGGGGTAGTAGGTGGTTGTATTCCAACCACCAGTTTAATCTCATGTTGATCATTTTTTCCATGATTTTGAGAAGGCAAGCAGCCAACGAAATGGGTCTGACTTTTCCTTTATCGGGTTTAGGGATGAAGAAGATGGAATACTGTTTCCATTCAGTTGGAAAGGATTCAGTCAAATAGATGTCATTATAGAGTCTTAGAAGCAGGGGTTTGACCGTGTCTGGGAGAGAGCGAATGACTAAGTAGTCAATTCCATCAAGGCCTGGGGATGACTTAGGGTTAGTACTTAGGATGGCTGCTTCTAATTCTTCCTTAGTAAAGGGGTGATCCATGAATGGGTCTTCATAGTCGTTTTTCAAACATGGCGGTTGTACTGGGGCCCAAGGGGGGCACAGTGTTTCTATTGCTGTTTCAATGGTGTGAATCCTCTGCACGTTGTATTCATTCGATTGAGGGGTAGTGTTCCAGGCGCGCTTAAGTCCAGCTAGTTTCCTCCATATGTAAGATTGATTAGTGAAGCGGTTGAGGGAACAACAGAAGTTCCGATAGTAGTCCCGTTTGATTCTGCGTATATCAGATCTCGTCTTAGCCTCGATTTTCTTGTATTGGAGAAAATTGTCTCTCGTTGGGTACTGCTGGAGTCGTAGGAGTGCTCCTTTTCTAAGCCGAATAAGTCGGTTGCAGTCTTCGTTCCAAAATGGTGCTGGGTTAGGGCGTTTGTGAGATTTTTGATTGTTAGCAAGGTTGGAATTCTGTTTGTGGTTTCTCGTGTTGTGGTATTTTCTCCCTGGTGTGGCCTCCATGACCGCGGAGGTATAGTAGCTGCAGAGGTGGAGTACTTAACCTGGGTGTCCTTATCTGGGTGTAAGATAATTGCTTCGAGGGCATCTAAGTTGAGCAGGAGATGTTGGAGATGGCCTGTTGCCAATTTGTCTTAAGAGTATATATTTTGTGCGGTGCCCGGTGAATGAGTCTGGGATTCGCTTTTTTGTGGAGTTCTAGTGTGATAGGGTAAGGGTCACTACCCCATGAGTCCTTCCCAACGCACCAGTTGTACGCTGGGTAGGATCGGCTGTCTGTTATTGAGATATCTATAGCCGATTCCGTATTAAACTGTCTTGAGCGGAAGGTTGTATCTCCTTGGTTGATGACACAATTATCAGTACTTTCTATGGCGCGAAAAAGTTTATCTCCCTCAGAGCAAGCGTGAGGGCTGCCCCAGAGGGGGTGGTGGGCATTAAAATCCCCTGCTAATAGAAACCTATCGTGGAATTGGTTTAGGAAGCGCAGCCATTTATCGTTCGAAATGTGTTTATCGGGGGGCCTGTATCCAGTTGCCAGTAGTAGCTTTCCCTCTACTAAGTGCAGGGTCAATGTGCATAGTTCAATGCTCCCATCGCAGTCATATAGGGCAGGTCATTTCTCATATTTGAGAAAATTGTTAATGAAGATGGCAGTACCTCCTCCAGCACGATGCGTTCTGTCTTTGCGAATAACGTCAAATCCTTTTATATAGACTTTGTCCGTTTGTGTCAGCCAGGTTTCGTTTAATAGAATGATGTCAAACTGTTGTGCTCTAAATTGAAGTTCATGTAGCTTGTTTTTGAGACTTTGGCAATTCCATTGAAGTATTCGGAGCACGTTGGGGTTCTTGTCCATTTGAGAACTGAATATGTAAGTCGATTGCTTTCCATATTCTATTCCATAGAGCATTCGAGTTCGGGTCTGCTTTTAAGATCGATTCCAGTCTTTGTAGGTGAACAGAATGGGTGTTGCTCATTAGCGAGTTGGTCTCAGCGAGGTAAGGAGTCGTGTGCGGAATACGGTCCTTGGCCGGCCGAGCTTGCACGGCTTCACTGTATTTGCGATTTTTCTGTTCAGGGGGCAAAGGGAATTTACTTGGAGTAGGAGAATGTCGCAATGGTGGGAAGTTGCTGAAAGTTATAGATGGTGAGTGGAACAAGGAATTATGTTGCATGTTGGAGAATTGTTTTTGTGCTATTGCAAAGGGTACATTTTCATGAGCCATAATTCTGCAGATTTCTTTGGATTCCCTGAATTTGGGACATTGTCTGTTGAGGGTAGGGTGGTCACCTTTGCAATTAATGCACATTGGGGTTGTCGCACATGTTTCGCTTTCTGGGTGCTTGTCGTGGGCACAAGTCAGGCATTTCTCAATTGCTTTGCAAACTTTACTAATATGGCCGAATCTGCCGCATTTAAAGCACTGTCGAACCTGTGGGATGAAGGGTTCCAAGTCCAGTCTCGTTCGCCAAATATAAACGAATTTTGGTAANAACATATCTGTTTTTAAGATAGGTGGAAGATAGCCCGTCCAATGGTAGTACATTCTTTAGAGTAGAAAAAGTTCCCACAGGAATTGCCATTTAAAAAAAAAATCCAAGGAGGAAGCAGTTTTTCAGTGGAAACAGACAAGATTATGGGACCACCGTGTTTCTTTATCATCCGTGTGTGCCATCCTTACCATAATGTGTGAACCAACTGATGGATTTATGTGAAACTCTGTATTGTTATCGTGCCACTCATATGTTCTTTCAATTGTCTACCATCAGCCATATTAACATGGTGACTTAGTTAGAAGCAACACTAGAGCCACTTAATATAGTGTACTACATTTTTGTATGGTAGTAGGTCCTTAAGAAAAGGGTCGTGGGGTAAGCATTTATACCCATTCAGAAGGTTCTTAGTTCAATCCTCAGTCACATCTGTGTACAGATTTTTCTGCTCACTGATGATGCCTTCAGATCTACCAGAGTTAAAGCTTCGGGAATACAAAAGAAACCCCCCCCCCATGGGTTGCATCCCATGTTAAATTATAGGGTTCCTCTGCTGACCAGCACTATTGTGATTACCTCATCATGAGGGGGGGGGCTGAGATTGTTGTATTCCACCTCAGATGCTTTCAGTAGTATCAGTTGTTTTGACTTACTTTTCTTCCATTCTGTATGTCACAGTTTGTAACTAGGCAACATATTGTGACATTTGAGTGTGTAAATACTTTGTACTCGATACAGTTTGTTGTGTAGGCATAGAATGTGGGAGAATGGTTCATTTTGCAGATAGGTTGCATGAATTAAGAAGAAACATGACTCAAAATTATTACTGTCCCATTGTACTTTTATTAAAATATTTAGCGTTAATCATTTCAATCCGTATGACTTTAATGTGCTGTAGCATGCCCATTTCTGGTTATTGGCTGTGTGAGTAAGTTGTGTTGGAAAACGGAATGTTACATATTTTTATTATTTCACAAAATAACGGATTGAACTATATATGGATCATACCCTCTTTCCTGGCTGATACTTCAGGATGAAAGGATTTTACGTGTTACTTGGAAACATGGCCACATTCTGTAAGATCCTAAAATACAATGACTTTAATGTTGTCTCTCTCTCTAATTTCAGATACCTGTCTCATGAATTTCATGGAAAGAGACCAGGGAAAAATGAAGTGGAGAAACGGATGAAGAAGAATGAACAGGAAGGAGTGAGTATTGGTCCAGATCTGGTCATGAGCTGTTATTTCTAAATAATATTACATTGTAGCACTCTGCTGCACTTCATTTTGTATCAGATTGTTTCACAGTCTCATGTGCAGCACATCCTTCTATGAAACTTTCTAAAATTTATTCACTGCATGTTTCCACCTATGAGGTCATCATCAGGTGTTTTAAAATTATAAATGAAGAAACTGCTGTGCTTCCATATTGTGGTTGTCAGTTGTTGCTGTGTGTGTATGTACGAAGTGACGGGTTGTTCTGCCTGTTGTGTTATACTGTGTGTCTAGCACTGCACAGTAATGACCAGCAACCACAATATGGAAGCACAGCAGTTTCTTCATTTATAATTTTAAAACACCTGATGATGACCTCATAGGTGGAAACTTGTAGTGAATAACTTTTAGAAAGTTTTATAGAAGGATGTGCTGCACATGAGACTGTGAAACAGTTTGATGCTATTTCTAAATGGTGCTCCATAAGGAAGTAAATTGTGGTTATCTTAAAAGTCCATGATTCCATATAGCAGATAGATATCCATCCATACTTTTTGTGTGTTCATTTTCACTGACTACAGAGAAACACAGTAGCTTCAGCCCTGGGACAGAAGCGAATACAACAACTTTGTGGCATGTAAGATGGAGCCTGCTCATAAAAACACACAGCATATTTGTTCAGTTGTCATTAGGCTAGCAGACATGGACACAGACCATGGGTTGGAAATTGGGAGAAACTGATGACTTCAAGCGGCAGACTAACTTAAAATTTGGTCAGCTGTTAGCATAATCAGTGACAGGTGCTGCAAACAGTTCAGAATGTTTAGTGGCAAACAGAATGTGCCCCATCTGAAGTGTCAAATATTTTCTGTTTCCAGTTGATGAAACAGATGAGCTCAACAGACACTCACTTGGACCACGTAGCCTCTTGCAGCAGAAACAGAAAGAAACAGTCTCCATTTGTGGTCCTTAGTGGCAGTAAACAAACGTGGGTATCTATGTAAGATTCGAGGCTTTCACGGCGGTGACTATGAAGAAAGCAGTCTTCTGGGATTTGGCACCGTGTATATGTGGTGTTAACCGACGTTTCGGAGGAACGTATCGCCTCCATCTTCAGGGTAGAAGAAAAAATATAAGAAATCTGCAANCATTAACTGACAGACTTAAGACACGAGAACACAGATTGCTAGATGAAACCAGTGAACTGAATTCAAAATTTGTCTAATCTTGACATTGCAAATAACGGTAATTCATAGCTTTAACTTAAAGGCTGAGTAGGTGGGAAGTCATATAGTAATGTTGACAGTGTCATCTGGTGATTATACTGTCGCAAAGTAAATATTTGTTTTTCTCTGAGCATATCACTGATCTTGTTATAATTTCTAGCCTGTAGACCATAAAGTGTCATTTTAATGACAAAATTGATTAATAAGGTTTTCCTCTTTGGTACTGTGAAGCTTTACTAAAAATTTCTGTTTTTGATGCAGAATATGAAATTTAATTTTCAAGAAGAAAACCACCATGTCAGGTTTTTGTGAAGTCTTCAAGTTTAACATGAGCATTACTACATTTTCTTTATTTCTTTCTTTTTCAGGGCAACCATCTCGAAAACAAAACTGCAAATTCTTCATGAAATACGCTGCCACCAACTCTGAAATATAGTGTGGACTCATGATTTTATTGTTTCTTACTGTCTGAAATATCATCTCTATTTTAAATAAGACACAGCTTGCAGCTGCCGACAGTGCCCACATGTACTGGAAGGAAGGCCACGGAGTTCATGTCACATAAATGAGTACAGTGGTTCTCCTGCTTCCTTAGGTAACCTGTTGGCACCTGTAAGCTGAAAAGTACAATTTCTAGTGATTAGTTGCTTGCTTATAGGACTTGAGCCAGATGAACAGCCTCTAAGCTAAATCAGACATGAAGTGATTATATTTGTTTTTTCCTTGATTGCAATAGCAATATTGTACACCCCCCATCAATGCTGCATTCAACCCTGAAAATTGGTCACTAAACAGAGATGGGTATTCTTCCAAGAGAAGAAGGGAACCCTCATTCAGTGGTAGGCGAGTATGAGAAGCTGTAAAGTTATACAAGCACCACAATCAGAAGATGTACAGTCTACTGCAAATCATTGTAAAGCACCACTGATATATTACTGAAACACATGTAAAATTATACGAGGGTAAGTCAATAAGCAAGTTACAAATGGATATAGAACTTAAACAAATAAGAGTACTGATTTGAAAAATGCTTTTATTTCTCAACATAATCTCCCTGTACATTTAGGCACTTGTCCCATCATTTCACAAGCCCCTGAAAACCAGCAACATAAAATTCTTTGGGCCGCTGTCAGAAGCAGGCGGTGACTTCCCTTTCTACAGCTTCATCGTTGGGAAAATGTCCAGCCGAAAGATGATGTTTAAGAGGGCCAAACAAATGGAAGTAGCTTGGACCAAGGTCATGGCTATACGGAGGATGCTCGAGGACTTCCCACTTGAAATTTTGCAGAGTCTCATTTGTCTTGTTGGCAGTATGGGGACGCGCATTGTCATGCAACAGCAACACGCCTTTGGTGAGGAATCCTGGTCGCTTCTGTTGAATGGCCTTATGAAGTTTCCTGAGGATGTTAACTCCTGCTGTAACATCCTCAGGAAGTAAATGTTCCATATAAAGGGAAGTCACTGCCTGGTTCTGACAGCAGCCCAAAAAATTTTATCCTGCTGGTTTTCAGGGGCTTGTGAGATTATGCGACAAGTGCCTCAATGTACAGGAAGATTATGTTGAGAAATAAAAGCATTTTTCAAATCAGTACTCTTATTTGTTCAAGTTCTGTAGCCATTTGTAACTTACTTATTGACTTACCTATGTACACCCACTTCATTAGGTGCATGCAGAATATGTTGTTCAGTTAGTGTGGTTACTTGCAAGGTTGGAATTGTGTGTGGAGTTGATTTCAGTTTGTAACATTCTCACACAGAGCAGTCTGCTTATGGTAACTGATGGTCATTACTATTTATCTTTACCATAGGTGATTAATTTTTCAGTAAGTAGTTTTCAAACAGCAGGTATGACACACCTATCAAAAGAAATTGAAGATTTTGTTTTCTTATTCGTCAGTATCCTGTTGAGAAAAGTGCAATAAAATAGTTTCACTTGGTGTAGTATTTAAATGTATATCAGCTTTAGGAAAAATGATATAGAAATGTTTTAATTTCATAATATATTTGTATGCACTAAAAGTTTAACTGTAAAGTTGAGGTGGCCACATGCAGTTGGAGCCCAGGCAGGGCCACTGAAGTGTCAGGCTGATAGCTTTAAATGGTTGCAATGGTAGACTTGCCATTTCTTATTAATTTGTACAGATTTCCTAACAGACTCACTACTGTGATGAAGACTTGTTCAAACAACGCTCTGAGAAATAATTTCATTATGTAACATAATTCTTCTGAACTGATCACAGTTCAGTTTATTCAGTACAGCACAATTACTGTAGTGTTGTAGTGTGCCAATATTTCTTGTTCATAAGTGGAAGTACAGTCATCTACAAACACCAGTGTTACATGTGAGATATGAGATATTCAGGGCAGTGATCATCATGAAGTTGGAAGTGATGCTGTGTAGGTGTGTAGGAGTCTACCAACATTTTGGAGGAACGTAATGCCACCTTCATAAGGGTAGACTTCTGCTGCATACATTCTATCACATCCTGACTTTTCCAAAGTATTATTGAGGAGAAGTGTTATGAAATGTAATACTCTGTAATTTGTTTTTACCAGCACTGCAGACAAATATACTTCCTCTATCTTCAGGATGGAAAATGGAAGCTGAGGGCAATGTGTTCCTCTGAAATGTCATTAAACTTCTACTAACCTACATAGTATCATATCCCGTATCATCAGCCAAATGAAACTGCTGTTTGTGGATGACCTGATTTCATATTGACTGCAAACATGACATGATGCTTCAATGAGTATTATTCATGAATGGGAACAGGTGAAACATCTGTACTTACGTAATCTACATGTCTGATATCTGGAGTCATCCTAAAGATGGAGGCA